AACAAAGGGATGTTTTAAGGGGCTGAAACCACATGTGGAAAAAAGCTATGGCACAAGGAGGACAAAGCTTTTCCCAGTGAGCCATTCAAGAAGTTGAGTTGAAATCTACGTTTCCCATCGATGACAAATGGGGTCAGTTTGGTCCCTCCCAACACAGCAGTAGATTTTTTGCGGCGTCAACCCCATCCTGTTCTTTCTAAGGGTGCAAGCATCGTGTCCCTGCGTTCAGCAGCACCCCAGGGTGGATTCTGCAGGGTGTCCTCCCCTCGAGGAGCACAAGGACTCCTTTGTTCCAAGCAAAGTGGATGAGAGCAGGGCTGTGCAGGAGCCACATTGCAACACAGCCCGAGAGCAGGAGCTGGGAGAAAGCGTTATCAGCAGGTAGGAGTGACTTTGGGATGGCTCAGACCGCTGTCCTCCAAGCAGAGCCAACAGCTTTTACGGCGTTGGCAACTGAGTATCCACCTCAAGTTTTGCTTTGCACATTCCCTGCCCCATCCTCCTACCCCGCAGCTCCGTATTTGCTACGTGTGTGTGCGAGCTTTGCAAGCAGAATTGTCACCCTGCAGCCTTGGCCCTGGGAGGTTTGTGGAAGCTGAACTCTTTGAGCTGTTGCTATTTTAACCAGACTGTATGTGAGCGTTCCAGCAGTGGCAGCACCCGGATATGCAAAACCCATCTGTCACTGTGCTATTGTCCCCATTCCTGGAGCCTGCTGGCACGGATTCCCACTCTGCAATGGCACTGGTGGCATCGGGCAGCCCCAGCAGCACCTCTGTGCCCATTGGGAACCTGAGGGGCTTTATTGCTTGCAGCAAGGTGGGGCTGAATGCCCCATAAACCCAACACATATAGAAACCTAGGAGAAAATATGCCACGGATGGATTGGAGATGGAAATGCAGATTTTTTTTAAAAAGATAACAACTAAAAATCACATGATGGAATAGCTGGTGCACGGGGTGAGCTGTTGTGTTTCCCCCAGTTGGTGGGAGGAAGGGGGAGGGAGCAAAGAATTGCTTACAGAGGGATGGATGGGGAATTATTTCTTTACAGGCATACACCATTTCTTGCTTTCTGCCCCCAAAATCATGCAGTGTTCGATCACTGCAGGTGCTGTTAAAAGCTTTGGGGACGTTTAGTTTGTAGGGCTTGTTGTTGCTCTGGCTGAAAGCTGGCAGTGAGAAAGGATGGTGATGCAATGAGAGGGCGCTGAGCATCGCGTGGGATTCTTCGCTGCAGATCGAGCCTTTTAAAAGCTTTGGGGTTTTATTATTAATAATAGCAACAATAATAATGGCAATAATAATAATCTGGATTTTTAATTTTTGATAACTTCTGATTCTTTAGCTAAAACCCTCACGATGGCAGAGGCTGGCGCTGTACTAGAGGACACAGAGCATCACTTGAACTTGACGGCGCATCTCTGAATCAACAAAGCCAAGGGCAACATGGCAAGGGGGGCTGGGGAAAAAAAAAACACAACAGCATTTGAGGGGAAAACACACCAAGCACGGCGCTCACCAGGCAGCAGGGCTCCAGTAACACAAGCAGGGCAGGCAGCGAGCGGCCAGCAGTGGGGCTGGGGGCAGCACAGATGCTTTGTGAGTGGTCCCGACCTCCAACCCGGAGCCCCCCACTCTCCTCTTGGTCTTGTAGCGGCGGTTCTGGAACCAGATCTTCACCTGCGTCTCGCTCAGCTGCAGGTTCTGGGCCAGGTGGGCTCGCTCGGGGGCTGACAGGTATTTCTGGCGGCTGAAGTTCCTCTCCAACTCCAACACTTGGCTGTGGGTGAAGGCTGCCCGCGAGCGCTTTGCTGGCCGGGGGGGTCGGGGCAGCACCTTCTGGGGGGGGTCACGGCTGCATGGCGGGGTCTCAGCATCTGTAAGGGGAGAGGACTGAGCTGGGAACTCGGACTGAGCCCCGACCGCTGGGTTCTTTGGGTTTCCATCACCCAAATTGCTTCTTCCCTCAATATTTTCACCACCCAGACCGCCTATTTCCTCCTTTCTTTCTTATCTCTCCCCATAGAGTGAAGCATTCATGAGCCACTTTCCTCCATGCTTTCTAGTTGCCCAAACCCCTCATCTCCTTGCTTTCAATCACCCAAATCATTCATTACCTCCATTTTCATCACCCAAGTCACTTGTTCTGTCATTTTTCCATCACTGATTTCCTCACCTTTCTTGTTTTCCATTCCCTTCCATAGAGCAAAATATTCACAAATCACGTTTTCTCTTGCTTTTCACCACCCATATCATTTATTTCCTCTCTTTTCGTCGCCCAAATAAGTTGTTTTCTCATTTTTCCATCACCCAAATCTTCACCACCCCACTTTTTTCCTTTCCTATCCTTCCACAGAGCAAAACATCCTCACTGCCTCAGAGATCCACATTGAACTCTCCTCTTGATGGAATTACTCTCATCCATTTGGGAGCTGTTTTCTCCCAAACAACCCCTCTCTTAGCTCCTACAAGGAAAAACCAACCCCCAAAAGGGCCATTTTGCACTGCTGGTGACATCTCAAGGTGCTGCTGTTGCATACAACGTGCTATTGGGATTTTTACAGCATCACCAGTAGCTGTGCAAACCTCTCCAGCCCTTTATTTACACCGCAATTCTTTTCCTCCCAGTGGATTGCAGCCAGTTTTTGTGTTGGTTTTTTGCTTTTTTTTTTCCTCCTTTTGTCACTTCTGAGTCTATTTTCTTAAGAAGTGAACATAACACTCGAGATGGAAAAACAAAGGGCTGAATTCCAGCCCCATTGAAATCCCCAAGCTGCATTCTGGGTGATTTCCAAAGGCTTTTAATGATTTTTCTTAGTAGCCACCTGGGAGGATGTTTCAGAACTCACTTTTTGTAGGAGCTTCTTTTAATAGAAGCGACACAGAAAGCCCAAATTCCCCTGGCAAGGTCTCCCTTAGCAAGCTCCATTTTGCTCTTTGCTCCCATTGCACAGCTCAAAGCTGCATTGCATCTGGCTTTTCATGCAATTGCATGCAATTTGCAGCACCCTGCTTCAGCAAATTTAGCCACTGCATGCTAAAAGGAGGTGCTGCTGGGGTTGCTTCTGTAGTAAGGCTGATATGCATAATGCACAGTATGTGCAATGCAGCAGAAAAGAGCAGAGCATTGCAACTGGAGCTGAGAACCAGCATATACAAACAGTCTGCAATGCAACAGCTAGGAGCAGAGCATTGCAACTGGTGCTGAGCATGCAGGAAAGCAAACAGCAAGCACAGCAAAGCCCTGCAATCAGTGCATGGCGAGTGCAGCTGCAGCAGCACCACCCAACAGCTGCACCAAGGGTTGCATTTGCATTAAAGGGAATCTTAAGTTTGCTATTGCAGAAATGCACCCTCTGGGCTTTTTATTAACCAAAGGTGCAGGCAGCTCCTGTGCTTTGAGTTATCTGAAGTGCCTGAAGAAAGCCTTGCATGCAGTTGCCATTTCTCTCAAATGCTCCTTGCATTTGAAGCCTGGGTAACTTGGTTATGCGTGGGTTATTGAGGTTGAGGGACTTCAAAACTGAACCCTCATCCTGCCCTAAGGGTGAGCATCCCACAGCACCCCACCTTACCTGGATTTGCATCGTGGGGCTGTGCTGGGGATACTGCAGGGCCATCCTGCTGCTCCCCATCCTCTGGTATCCCGCTTCGATCCATTTGTGCTCCCCTCTCAACCCCATCCCATAGGATGTCCTGGATGAGGAAGGACGTCCGAGGTCTGGATGAGGTCTGCTGGGGGCTGCTGGAAGCTCTGTGCCCCCCAGGGCTCAGCACCCCGGTGCTCATCCTCCTCCTTCTTCTCCTCCTCCTCCTCCTGCTGCCCGCGGGCTCAGTGCCTCCCCACCCTCCAGCTCAGCATTTATTGGGCCCATGGCCAAACCTCCGGGGCCTGATTGGAGACTGGGACGTGTCTACGCCCTTTGCTGGTGTCCCAGCTCTGCAGGATTTCTGCCCAAGCACGGCAAAAAATCCCTTCTGCTGCCTTGCTCAGGACGCCCATCCCCATCGAACCCTGCTGGGATAACCCCAGGGCTTTTATTCTCCTCTTAATTCTAAAAGCAAGGTGCCCAAAGGGAAATTCATCTTTTTGGGGTGAATGCAGGGTTTTGGGGGTTCAAAATAGAGTTGCTAGGATATGATGGTGCCGCCTTGGATGGGTGAGCAGAACACTTCTTGCATCCCCACCCCAATCCCAGTGGGATGATGCTCCATGTGCTTCGCTTCTGAATGCGGTTTAGACCCAGGGCAAACCCTGGAATGCTGGAGAATGGGGAATGCTGATTGTATATTTTGAGAGTTTTCTTCAAAGCCCTTTGGAAAAAATGGCGAACAATGTATTTTAATCAGCTTTGCAAAGCGGAGGTGCAACGGAGAGATCAAATCGTTGTGCAGGAAGGTGGGGAAAATCAACCCAAATCCCAAGGCTGATTCCTCCTGGGTGTGGACCATGAGTTGCAGAGCAATGCTGATGTGAAATAAATGTAATGATGGTAATGATCATAGTAATTAAAAAAAAAAAAAAGAGCAAAAAGCTCAAGAATAAAAACTCAGTAGGTTTGCAGAATACTGTTATGTGATGTTATGTGTTATCATGATTGCATTCTGTTGTTGGGTGGCTCCTTGAGTTGGACCAAAGGAGCTGCATGGGTTCCTTCCAACTTGGGATATTCTGTGATGTGATGGTGTGATATTGCAGAATATGCATCTTCTCATTTTGGGCTCTTGCACACACGAACAAAACCCACGAACCACCCAAAAGCTGGGCAATGTCCCACTTTCCAGTGAGTCCTTTTGTTCCAGTGATGCTCATTGCATTTTCCTGCAGCTGGACCATCAATCCTGGTGATGTTGGAGCTGTTCATGTGCTCAACTCATCTGTCCATAGGTCTGCCCTCATTGCCTGGCTCAATCCTTTTTTCCTTTCACTGCTGACTGCAGAATAACTCATAACACTGGTCCAAAGCCAGAGGTTTCGGGTTTGCAGTGACAGGGACCCCCTCATGGCCATTTATTGCATTAAATTTTGGCTGATTTGGGTTTTGCGGGAGAGATCTGCCTCATTTTGCAGTTGAGCAGTTTCTAATTTGGGCAAGAAACAGGAGACATTCAAAGCAATGTTGGATGTACCCAGCAGAGCAATCCCACAAACATTGGGATTTTAAGCATCTCCTGACCTCAGCCTTTGGGAAAACCACTCCAAAGATACACAGGACTATAAAAGACATCTTAATACTTCTTAAGTCTCATTCCCAGGCTGAAATACATGTAAAGAGAGATGTACATAGAAATGTACATGTATGGTCCTTTGGTCCAGCAAAGCATTCAGTGCTGGTGGGTTTGGGTCCCTGCTGGCTCAGCACCAACACTTTTTTTGCTTCAGATGTGATTCTCAGATGCAAATTGTGGATGGAGAGGTTAAAATGCTGAAAGGGAAAGCTGAGAGAGGGGAAACACGTATTCCCACCTTTTTTTTTTTTTTTTAATTGCAAATAATAATCATCATCAAGACAAAAGTGAACACCTGCGCTGGTAAGTCATTAAGAAATACGGATATCCCAAAAGATGAGAGGAACTCAAAGCCTTAAATAGAGCATTCATGGAAAAGCAAAGGCACAGTGGTGTGCACAGACCCTGTTTCCTTAGGAAGAAGAGCAGCATCCCATCCCTAAGCATCCCACAGGAGCATCCCTATAGGGTGGGATGGGATAGAATCTGTGTTTGTGTCCTAATAAATAAATGCCTCTGGTCCTGAGGTCCCCGGATCTGAAGCACCAGAAATCCCTTTCCTTGGGCTGGTTGGTGGGGACGGAGGCACCACATCCTGCTGTCCATTACGGCTCCAGATGCCCCCATCCCTTTCCTGGGCCACATCCCAACTGGTGCTGAGCCCAATCTCACGGTATGAGCACCCCAGTGTAGCCCACCCCATAGCTCACCCCATAGGCACCATAGTAGGTGCTATAGGAGTAGGGGCCGACGGTGACCCCATAAGGAGCCAGGTGGGGTTGGGATCCCCCAAAACAAGGATTGCCATCTCTGACCAGCACCGGAACAGCCACCCTACGCGGTGGCAGTGGGTAGGTGGCCATCTCCAGGGATCTATCCTGCCTCTGCCTCTTGCATTTGTAACGCCGGTTCTGGAACCAGATTTTCACCTGGGTGGATGTGAGCTGGAGCACGTTGGCCAGGTGTTCCCTTTCCAGAGCAGAGAGGTATTTCTGCTGCTTGAATCGCCGCTCCAATTCCGACACCTGAGTTTGGGAGAACAAAACACGGGGTTTGCGCCGCTGCGGTTGCTTGGGGTGGTGGCAGGGCTCACTTTGCTGCTGGTCTGTCTGCAAGGGTTGGGAGAGCAGATGTTGTCCTGCAGAGGGAAAAGCCCGAAGCAAAGTGAGACCCCAGCATGATTTTGCTGCCAACAGGGAAATAAATTGGGAACGGGGCCCCAAAAACCCCAAATGTGATGAGATTCCGACCTAGTCCTGCTGCCTCTGAGTTTCCAAAGAGGGAGTCAAATGGGGAAAGAGGCCTCTGGGATAACTTAAATGAGTTTTTCCTATGATATTTAGTGGAAATTCAAGAAAAGAAATCCTTCGTTTTTGCGATCTGTTGCATGAATTTTGGGTAATGCCTCATTTCTGACTTTCTTACCAACGGGTGCTGCACCCGTGGCAATCACAGCCCAGAGAGGCACAGGGAACATTGGGTTTGCTGTAGGACAATGTACCCCAAACCTCAAATCCCCTTCCCCACATCTTACCCATGGGCATGGAAGCACCCACAGTGGTGGGAACACCCCGAGGGATGGAATCACCCACACACAGCCTTCACCTCCAGCACCCCAACCACGTGGATCTCCGAATTTAAGCAAAAAGAAGGATCTGGGAATGAAGGAAGAAAACCTCAAAGATCTAGAAGAAAGTGGAATTTAGGAGGTTTGGTTGGTATTATTATTGCTGATGTTATTATTCTTATTATTTTGCTGCTCAGGGATTGCTGTGCAGTGATTCCTCGCTGCTAAGATGCGCTCAGATCTCTTGGAAACCCTATTATGGTTTGGGGAGATTTGGGGGCAAATGTGATGCTGGAAGGCTCCGGAGTCCTTCCCTGCATGTTCCCACCCTTCCCATCTCTCTGCTGCCTCATCCCAGTGCCTCCCAGTCCTCGAGCTCCTCTCTTAATGGTTTTCCCGTTAATTCCACTCCGCAGCCGCCGGGCTTTAGGGAAACACGAGCAAAGGAATCCTTGCCCGATTTAGCCAGAAGGGAAAGAGGGTCCCCATCCGATTCCCTCTCTGAGCTCTCAACCTCCGAACACCACAGGACGGAAGGGGGGAGGCGGGGGGGTGTCCCCTAGCGCAGTTTTCCTTCTCTCCCCGCGGGGACAATTTAGAGCACATCGAAATAAAGCGTTGTGTCAGCACGAACCGCTCCGAATTGGGATTGTTAGGCAGGATCAGCCTCAGCGCTGCCCGTCCGGGGGAGTTCGGGTAGATCTGGGCATGCGGGGGTCCGGGGGCGACGCTGCAGTGGGGGAACGGGACAGGGTGAGGGGAGAAAAGGGTGCTTATGGCCCCCCCAAGGGAAAGGGATGGAGATGGGATGGAGATGGGGCTGCTTTGTGCCCCCTCCCCGTGTTGAATGGGGTGGGAAAAAGCCCTGAAAGAAAACCCGAAAGAAAACGGAAGGCGGAATAAGGGGGAAAAAAAAGGAAAAAGAGGGAAGAAAAAAAAAGAGGGGGGGGGGGAGGGGGGAGAAAAGAGGGGAGGGGACGAAATGAAACGGGAGGGGAAAAAAGGAGAAAAAAGGGGGAAAAAAATGTAAAAAGGAAGGGAGAAAAAAATCGGGGGGGGGCGGGGGGGGGGGGGGAGGAGAAGAAGGAGAAAGGCAGAAAACGCCGTTATCTCCCACCGGCAGCACCGAGCGGTGCCACCTCATCGGGGCTGAGGTTCCACTGCCCTCAGTTTGTCCGCTCCGGCTGTCCGGGGGGCTTCGAGGGTCCCGCGGCTTCCACTCACCCGACTGCGGTTCCTCCTCCCCGGAGGGGCTGCGGCGGACCCCGGGGGCTCCGGGAGCGCTGCTCTGCTCCAGGCTGAGGATATCCTCGACGGAGAAAGGGGTGGGCAGCATCCTCCGGGGGGGGATCGGTGTGAGCTCCTGGCCTCTGCCCTCCTGTTGCTGCGGCTCTACCTGGGGGTCCCGAGGCTGGGGGAGGGTTAAGGGAGGGCAGGTCGAACCCTTGAAGGGGGGTCAGGATGATTTACCCTAAGCTGGGCCCCCCTATAGCCCCTTTTTACACTCCCCACTCAGCTGGGTGGGAAGGAGCTGGCCCCCTTCCCCTCTGTATTTCCAAAACAAGGGGAAGCGAGGAGGAGGCAGAGCTGCAATAAAACAAATCGAGGCGATTTGAGCTCCATTAAGGTCACATTAGCGAGTGGCTCGGGGAGATAAGGGCTGATAAGGCGGCGGGGCGCAGACCACCTCGATCCTGCTGGTGGTGAAGGGAGGGGGATGCTGTGCGAGCCTCAACCACTGTCGAATTCCCATGCACAGCCCCAGTGCCTCCCAGTCCATTCCAGTGCTGCCCTGATGGGACTGGGCTGGCAGCCCTGCCATGGGTCCAACACGAGCAGCCCCAGTGTGGGGAGTGAGGCCAAACCTTGCCCGTGTGGCAACGGGGTGATGCTGGGCCTTATCTGGGCGTCCGACTCTTTCAATTAAAATTCCTGGGGCTGGTGTTTGCTGATAGCCCTGACAGAGAGGGTGGCTGGGTTGGGCCGGTATCTCCCACACCCTAACCCGTCTGTTTGGAGGGGCTGGACAAAGAGCAGCCCCAATGCAGGGCTGGAATAGGAGGGAAAATAAATGCGGTGGGCTGGGGAGAGAGAGGTGCCATAGGTTCGTCCTCAGCCCTGTGTAACACATGGGTTTGTTCCATCCCTCATTCAGAGCTTGGCATGCATCCATCACTGTGGGACAGCCCCACCACTGCTCTATTTCCCAGTGCAATGGAAAGGTTTGGACTGGAACTATTGGGCTTGCTTTCTTGTGAGGATTTGATAGTGATAAACACCGGGAAATACCCGGAAATGCTTCTCCCTCCTTTTCGTTTCCCTGCATCCCAAATGTTGCAGTCCATTCCAGAGAATCACAGAATCATTAAGGTTAGAAAGACCACTAAGATCATCCAGTCTAACCATCGACCCATGCCTACAAGCACTCTAAATCATTTAAACCAACTGAACCTCCTCTGGCTGGGGGCATCCCTGGATTGTCCTACCCATGGTACCCCGTGGCCAAGTTTGCTGCTGCCCCATCCCCTTAAACCCAAGGAACCTCAGCCCCGCTGCGCTCATTGCCACGTCGAAATGGGACCCAAAGAGCACCAGCAGGCAGAGCAAACAGGCAGTAACATTACACCTTGCCTTGTTGATGGCAGGAGGCAGCCGGCGCCAAGGTAAAATGCTTGGCTGAGAGCGAGACAAGCAGGAAGGAATTGGAGTGAGAGCCTTTATCCGCCCCCAGCGAAGGCACCCAGCAGAGATTGATGGCACTTGGCTGGATGTGCTTTCAGGGCTGCTGGCCTGGGGGAGCAGAAAGGAAAACAGCAGGGTCCCTGCTCCTCATCCCATTCCATGCTGAATTTTATTGCATCCACTCAGGGATATTGATATTGCCTCTTGCTTTAACTAGATTAAGTGAAAGCAGGAAGAGGATCCTCCTGGCTCATCTGAACTGGGTTCCTGTGGAGGTTGCTCATGTGGTTTCTGCTTTCTGGTGTTATCATCGGGCTCATCGAGGTGCTGTTGTGCTGCCGGAGAGTCTGAGGCTCTGGAAATGAGGCTCTGGGATGAGGCAGGAGGGTCTGCGCTCAGAGCAACGTGGGGATGAAACTGCAGAAGGCTTTCAATGGGCTGAAACCACAGCCGGGCAGCGCCGGGTGGTGAAATGTGGGCAGGAGGGGTGCAGGGTAGAATGCCCTCTATTTATCTCTCCCCAACCCCCAATTTTAGCCAAGTTGCTGAGCCAAACCAGAGCTTCTCTGCTGCTCCACGGTGCCATCACTCAGCGGCTGCGGGGCTGCTTCTCATCACCACCCTTTATCTATTCCTTCTGGATTTTGGAGGGGGGGCGAAGGGGGGAACTTGTTGAAATCAGCGCGATTACGCAGACGGATGAGATCCCAGAGCCGAGGAGCGGCGTTGCCCGAACTTTTGGGCAGCAGTGCCCTCTGCTTGGCCGCTGGAGAGATGCAGCTCCAGCCCTGCGAGAGCTCAACACTGAGCAGCGAAGGGAGAAGGGACCAAAAATCCTTCCCCTCCCTCTCCCCCGTGCTCTTTTTCCCATATGAAATGAGGCTGCGGGGTTTGGGAATCACTGAGCTGCACTCAGGAGATAAAAGCACTGCTTGCTGATGGAGAGCAGCGAGTTCTATTTAAATGGGAGGTTTTCGTGTTAGCATGAATAATTCGGTGTGCTGCTGGATGGGAAGAGTTCAAATTCCCCTCTCCAAAAACGACATTTTCAGTGCTTGGGAGATGAGCAGAGAGCAGAGCTTTGTCATCTTTGCTTTTGCTGTGATTAAACCCCGTTCCCGAGGACGCTTGCAGTGCAATGCAATGCAGTGCAAGGAGGGAAGGAGGGATGGGAGCTGCAGGAGGCAGTGCTGAGTGCGAGCGCTGCTGCTTGTTGCAGGCAGCCTTCAGTCGGCAGATGGCACAAGAGCTGTGGTGGAGCGAGTGCGGCAGCTCGGGGAGAGTCTGATGCAAAGAGGAGAAAAAATGGTGAAAAATGGGGAAAAAGGGGTAAAAAATGGGACAAATAGGGAAAATGGGAAAAAGAAAGGGAAGAAGTGGGGAAAAATAGGGAAAATGGGGAAACGATAGGAAAAAATGGGAGGAGATGGGGGGAAATGGGAGAAGATGAAGAAAGTGGGAAAAAATGAGGAAAAATGGGGAAAAATGAGGGAAATGGGAAAAAAAGGGGGGGAAAGGGGGAAACAATGGGAGGAAATGGGAGAAGATGGGGAAAGTGGGAAAAAATGGGGAAAAAATGTGCGTGTCCCCACAGCTTGCTGGAATTCAGCTGGGATGCTGGGATGATCTCCATCCATGACTTATCCATGATACAAAGCCTCTCAACTGTATCTCCTTGAGAACAAAATCTCTGCATCCTCACTTATGAACCTGTGGTACAGATTTACCCCAGTTGTCCCCTTGCGTCCCCATTGCTCCCAGTGCTGTGGTTGGCAAACACTGAGTGTTGCACAAGTGTTTGTCACTGGGGTTTGCTCTCTGCATTGGGACAACGAGAGGTTCATCACATGTGTTTGGTTTGCGGGGCGTTTTGTTTTATTTTTTCTTCTTTTGGTAACCGGAGATATTTATTTAAATCCAGAAGAGAGCATTTGGGTGCTGAGCCAAGAAGCAGCTGAACGAAGGAGAATTGCTTAATTCTCTCTCTGATGTCATCCGCGGAGCCTCCAGGAATGACAGCACTGAAGTGAAACTCTGCTTCGTGTAACTCACAGGGCAGGGGGAAATGCATCATGCATTATCAGCTACTACATGTCAGAGATTTCCTCTCTGTCGCCCTACCCACCCTTAAAGCACACAAAGTGGCTGTGAGCAACTTCCTCCGGCGCTGGGAATGGGTGAATCCCTGCGAAGCGGCTGTGCGGTGCTCTCTCCCTCCTGGCATCTTCTTTGTGATCCCTTTTTAATTGTTCTCATGGTGATTAACAGCTCCACCATCAGCCGTGCCTCCTTCGTCTCCCCGGCACAAAGGCTGCCAAAAGGAAGATTCTCCTTACGAGCACAAGTGTGTGGATTGTGCACATTGGAAGCTCCTGCATCTGTGACCTCTGGAAGCAGAGGGCCAGGGATGCTGCAGGTCCTTTAGACTGATGCTTCCCACAGCAGTTTCACTGCGTTTAGTTTTGCTTTTCCCATTTTTGTGGCCTGGGGAAAGCAGTGGGGCCAGGTTACAGGATGGATCTTTCAATGTCCCACAGATTTCCCCATCACCCCCCAAAAAAAGCCCACTGGGCAAACTTCTGAGGGCTCAGCTCACTTAAAAGACTTTTAAAAATATGACCAAAAGTTTCTTTACATTATTTAAAAGCCTCTTTAAAGAGCAGCTGCCTCCTATTAATACCTCTTGGGCCGATAATCTCTGCTCGGATCTATCTTTAGAGCTCTGCCAGCATTAATGGGGGCTGGAGGTGCAGCTGAACACACAGCAGAGGGAGGAGAAGCAAAGAAAACCATGGTTTTTGGGGTGGGTTTGGAGAAATCAGCCCCTGGCTTGCACAAGGAACCCCTGGCAGCAAAGGTGAGCTATGGTTGCCACAACTTCCTCCCCTTTCCCAGGATGGGTTTTTGGCAGGGAGAAGCACCGAGCCAACAGAGCAATGCTCAAATCCCAGACTTCTGAGATCTCATCAATAATTGTCTTAACACCAAATTTCAGCAGAGCTGGAGGTCTGAAATGCTTTGCAAACATAGAGCAGAGGCTGAGCCCATCACCCAACAACCATCCCCCACTGCCCATCGCCCATCACCCGTCACCTTATTTTCTTTCCTGCAGTTCCTTAAACGAGACCCATCCTTGGCTTGGCTTGGTTACCTTCATCCCAAGGGCAAATGTGGGGAGTCAGGGAGCTCAGATCTCAGCTGGGCTCTGCAGTGCAGGAGGTGGCCAGAAGCTGTCCCACGTCTCCTAGCGCTGACTTGCACAGCTCATGGACATTCCTCTGTCCGATGGCTTCTCAGCATGGGAAGAGCTCATGACCGTGTTAAAACAGCATCCACAAACTGTACGACAAGCAGCCAAGCACATCCAGGGGTGCATGTTAATTTAGAAAACCGTGGCATTATTCATCCCTTCGTATCGTGCCCATCAGGGATGCTGGAAAAGCTCAGGCACGTCACGCCAGGTCCCAGCTTTGCCTCCAATGCCTGCTGGAAATACAAGATACAAGAAAGATTATTTTTTTTCTCTCTAGATGGCAAACAATGCAATTTTCCAGCAATTTGAGAGCTATTTGCTATGCTCGTGGCAGATGAAACATTTCAATGGAAGACCTTAAAGATGAGCCAGGTGCCAACACATGCAGCATTTCCATGGCATGATAGTGCTTGGCAGTGATATTTGGGAGGTGCTGGCCTTTGGCAATGCCATTGTGAGCAAATTGGACTGGGGTGACCGTTGCAGTTGGCTTTGGCCAATGGGGATTTGCTCTTTTAGTCTTGCTGGATACCTGTAGGCTGAGAATTTGCTTTTATCAAGGGGGACAGTGTGAAAAATCCGATGTATTTATGGAAAATTCCTCTGGGTGCTGCCCTTAATCAAAGCACCGATGGTCTCTGAGCAAAAGGTCTCTTGTATTTGACCCTCATTAAGGCTTAATGATGGTGCACGATTCAGGCTCCCAAGACAGAATCTGGCTGCACAATGCTGGGAGCAGAGCAGGACACCTTTCCACGCCAAAGAAAAAAACCAACATTGTCCTTTTGGTAATCTCATTTTTTCAGCCAGCCCGTACCACTCCCCATCCTTAAGGGAAGTTTGCTCCTTGACCTGGGAATCCAGCTGCAAGCTGTGCATCCTCAGGGGTGGGTCTGCCCTCAGCTTTTTCCTCTGATGCCATGATAAAATTTCTGCTCTCTGTCAATCAGAGGGGCTGCAAGTGTGCCTGGCCCCAGTGACGAAGAGGAAAGGGCTCGTGCGTCGTCGGGATGCTCCTGACTCACCGATGGCAGCTCCACCTACATGGCCTCACATTTTCCCATAGGGATTTGCAATGCTGAGCAAAGAAGCAGCGCTCGTCATCGGTCCCTCTTCCTGAGAACAGTGCCTCTGCTCAAAGGAAGGAAAGATTTCCCCCCTTGGACAGGAAAGATCCACAGCTTCATGGCAGGATACGGCGGGCTGAAGGGGGAAGGAAGGGGTTTTCTGTGTGAAAGCAAAGAGAATGTGACAAATCTGAGCTGAAATCGTGGCATTTTTGGTCTGTGGTAGAGGTTGGTGGGCAGGTGCATGGGGTCAACCTCAAGTATGGACCTTAGCATGGGAGCAGTGAGTGAGGGCATGGGGGGAGGGATAAACTCCACAAAACAGCTCAACTCCTCTCTTTTTGCCCAATAATTGATCTTTTAAAATAGTTATTTTGGGGTGCTTTGATGCAAGGCCATGCTCTACCCTGTGGCTGTAGAGATGTATACTAGGTATATAGGGATAATTCCTATATATAGGAAAGGATACGGAGGACCTCATCTAGGTCATTAGCCACAAAACCTGATTTGCCACAAATATGAAACTCAAAGCCCACAGATGCCACATTCTCATCAAAGTCATAGCCAGAGAACATAAGTGAGGCTGAGGAGCACATGCGGAGCTTTAAGCAAACACTGCCATATTTTGAAAAAAAAAAATAATATATATATATATAAACTTAATCATACCAGGTTTTATTATGAGCCCATAAATAAGAATAAATAGTCATCTGGACTGCTTAAGTTCCCCAGCAGAGAGGAAAATGGTGTTGGGCTGATGGCTCCATGGAGCCCTGGGCCAAGCATCGCGTCCGGAGAGGAGCAATGATTTTGTTCTGTAGCAAAAACAATTAAGCTCCAAGCCTTGAGACGAAACAAAGCCCTGAAGGAAACTCATAGGAACCAACAGGATTTTTCTCCTGTCTTCCATAAAATGGGGTTTTGCTTTTAAATCACCATTGTGAACATCTGCCTTTGTGCCCTGAGCTGCAGCATCCATCCCATAGAGGTGTCCCCATGGCCTGGCTCCTCCCCCGGGCTACACTGGCATCTCAATCTGCCAAAAAAAGGAGAGCCAAAGGGGAGTGAAATGAGAAAAAAATTCCCATCTGTGTGAAAATAATTACATCTCCCCCATGAGCTCATTCTGGTTTTACGAGTTTTTCCAGCTGTGGGCTGGAATACAGCCTGTGCCTATCTCAGGTATTTTCTGCCTCAGGTTCTTGAACTTGCAGCACGGATCCCTCTGAATTGTGGAGATAAAAGGGGTTCACACCAACATTATCCCTCATGGCAAAGGCAGTGTTTTCAAGGGAGATGCCAGCATTGGAAAACAGAAATCTGTGGGCTGTCAGCACGGTGAGGAAGAGGCATCTTGGTGGAAAATGCTGATATATTGAAGTAAAGTAATTTGTGTGAACAGCTTATCCTGCTGGATATCTCCATCCATGAGGTAGAAGTGCTGTGTGTCCCTCCCTCAACCACATGCGGGATCCCAAGGGGATGTAATCCCCCAAACCCATCCCCAAGACTCTGGCACTGAAATACATTAAGATATCAGTTGGGTTTCTATAGCTCAGCGGTGAGTTCCCTACGTTTAACCTGCAAAGCCTGCATCCATTTGCTTTTTTCTGCCTTTTCCTTCTTCATCTAACCTTGCACGATGGGAACAACCAGTGCAGCTCAGTTCGTTTGAACTTTGGTTATATTTTTAGCATCCTGCTTCTTTCATATTCCCAGTCGTACCGGCTGAATCACGATGGCAAAGACAATGTCCTTTATTATATTGTGGAAGGGTGGTTTTTTTTTTCCTTTTTTTTTCTGCTCTTTATTTTTCTAAGCTCGCAGGAGGCAGGAAGTTCCCAAATTTCACTCCCAGCCGCTTCATACGGTGTCACTCCAAGTGCCAAAGATCACACTCCTTCTCCTCTGCTCCCAGTCTTTCTTTCTCTCCCCTTTCTCAGAACAGCAAAGCAGGAAGGGTGAGGGCCAGGAAAATCTGAAATGATTTTCCCCTTGTTTTGTAACGAAACTTAAAAAACAACGGCGAAAAAAGAAAAAGGGACAAGACAAGAACAGCAGTCAATCATGTACCTTGGGCCTGGGCCAAATCAAATTAACTCCTGGGCAGTTTGTTCCATGCGAAGGTGACAGCAGGACTTCCATGCGCTACGCTCGCCATCGCCGCGCTGAGATTTCCTCTCCTAGGATCCATTTCTGTGCAGAATTTCCACCACGGTGATGACTTGGATCAGACCCCTGTTGCTGGCAGCTCTTAAAATCAAAGCTCTCGTTATTAGCACTGGTCAAAACACATCTTTTTAGGTTTTTTTTGTTGTTTTTTTTCTGAGTAACTGGTGAGAAACGGTTGCATTTCAGAAATATTGCTGCAGTTGGGGATAACAAGGTAGAAATGTCCCATAAATGAAATTTTCAATGGTAATAATGATGATAATAATAATTACAAAACATCAAAAAGCTTGATTATCTCCTTTATTCTTTGGAAGAACTTCACTTGACTCGTGCTGCCTGCTCTATACACTGTGTGAATGAACTGTAGACATTTTTTACCTATAGGATACGTAGTCCCACCAAGAAGTCAACCTCAAATTGAGGAGAAGAAAGGAAAATCGGTGTTACAGTGCTGCAATCTCTTGTGGAGAACAGAGCATTGTGCTGGAGAGCTCATGTGTAACTCACCTCTTCCATTTGGGGCTGGAGTTCAGCACTGATGACTCCGTGCCCTCATTGCCTGCTTGAAGTCTTCCTGCTGTGGGGGGCAATTATTGCAATAAAAGAGACTTTCAAGCAGAATTTGTTGGGTAGGGTGACTCCATCCATTCAGGTGAGGTGCTCTGTCCCTGTAAAACCTCAATTCTCTAGGAACAATTTCATTTTATGGTCGATGAGAAAGCCATACGGGCTGAAATCTATGAACACTGCGTAGGAATAGTACTCGGTATTGGACAGAAATTATTTATAATGGTTATTAATTGCAAAATAGCTGTGAAACTCAGCTTTTAAGTGTAGCATCTGTACTACTCCCAGAGCTCTACGCTTGCAAGAGCAGAAATGGGAGCTTTCTTTTTGGAAACATATAATTCACTGTTTATCTGCAATTTCTTTTGGTCAGTTCAAATTGAATGCTGCTTCCTTTGTTGCTTTGGCTCCTAGAAAATGGAGTGGGTGGGTTCAGTAGGTGCACGTGTTCAGAAAGTGCTTTGGGGGATTACTACTTAAACCAAAACGTCAGACAGAATCATTAAGGTTGGAAAAGACCTCTATGATCATCAAGTCCAACCGCTGACCCATCACCACCATGCCCACTCATAAGTTGTTCAGGTTGGAAAAGAACTCTATGATCAAGTCCAACCATCAACGCCCCCACCACCACCACGTCCACTAAATCATGTCCCTAAGATGGTGACACCCAATCTCCACGCCCTCTTAATGAGACAACCAAAAGGCACTTGCACAGCCAGGTGCAATGGTGTGCTTGTTGGGCATGACCATGATCACAGTGAGGTTCAATGAAAGAGCCAGACACAGAAAAACTCCTTAAATTTGACATTTTATTTCATTGCAGAAGAAAATCCAACATAGGCCTCATTATGTTATGCATCTTCAATTATAAAAATAAGCAAAGAAAATAACTTGCATCTTTCTCATTACTATGATATGTTTCAAATAACCTTTATATGAACACACTGAGCTTTAAAAATGTAATTTAAACAATAAATAATGACATATACCAGATATGCTCACTGTTTATTCCAGTACTCAGCAAAAAAACAAAAACAAAAAACCAAAACTCTCTCCCCCTTCTAAGTATCTTTAAATTATAAATACATAATGCAAATTTATAATGGCACAAAACATCTAAAGTGCAAACAAATCACAATGAGAATCATGCAAACATTTCTAGATAAGCCCCTCCCCGCCTCCGAGAGAAATCATTTCTGCAGTGAACGCAAGATTAAAAAAATAAAGCATCAGAGATTAAATAAAGTGTGAAATAGCTGGACTTACTGTTGAGAATCATTCCCCATCTCCAGGGGGATTTCTCTCACCTAATTCAGACCATACCCATGGGGCACCGTTCCCAATCGATGGGAAGCGCCACCATGTCCCCCTCTGCTGATAAGGGAGAGTTTAAGTGACCAGCTTAGGCTAAAAGTTTGGCAAGGTGAACCCCAAGTCTTTGGATTTTTTCTGTGCTTGCAGCTTCCTCACTGAATCATTGATGTTGGAAGACCTCTAAGAGCATCTGGTCCAACCACCAACCCATGCCCGTGACCTCGTGACAAAGCCAAACAAGCCTTGGGTTCCCAGTGAAAAAAAAAAAGATAAGTGAGGAGAACCCAAAAAGTTTGGGTTTGGACTCCCAACCTTAAATCAACTTCGTAAAGCTTTGGGTTTTCATAGAAGTGCTGCACAAAGCAGCATAGAAATCAATTGCCACCAGAGCATCTAGACGAGCTCATTGAGCTCTACTGGCATCAGCCCACGGGGAAGTCAGCTGGGAGCTGCTTTCTATTGCCCAGAGCCATCCTGCTGGGACACTCCAACCAAGTGACATCTTTTTGGAGCCACTGCCCCCCCCAAAATACACGCACTCAATGCACAACCCCAGCAGATCTCCCAGTTGTGGTGTAACGCTGCACAGCGCACAGCCCCAGGGCTAGATCTTCAGTAAGAGCCAAACTTTTAGGATCACGGTGTTCAAAGGGACTTTGGTTTTCACCTTGCAAAACTTTATGGTGTCGGACTCTATATACACCTGACTTTAAGAACGAGCAATATTGCATCTTGTTTGTCCTGGACTGCACGATTCTGAGTACTCAAAAACAAAACAAAACGAAAACCCCAACCCTCTACCGTCAGCAACATTTTTTGCTGCTTACAATTTCACGACAGCACTTTTGGGCTACATTTAATGAAGACAGCAGTATGAGAAATGCTGCCACTGCATCTGGTTTCAATATATTAGCAGCAAGTTATTGTTTAAAGGCTTTGTGGTTAAAAAAAAAAAAAAGAAAAGAAAGAAAGCAAGAAAAAAAGAGGAAAAGAAAAAAAAAAAGAGTTATATTGCTTTAGATTTCGAAAAGAAAAAAAATAGATACCTCCTTTATTAGCTCTCTAACTAGTTGAGCAAGAGTCATCCACGCCGCAGACAGGCTCCAGCGGGACAGATTTTGGAGCTGGCCGTGCCGATCGCGTGCCACAAAGGGCTACTGTGCAGAGAGCGGCGTCGGGGGAAGGCCCCCATCCGCGGCCGTGGGACCGGCCCTGGTCCTGTTGGCGGAGGCTGCGGGAGAGACGGGTGGGAGGAAAGGCAGGTCTGAGAGCTTCATGCATGCGCCTTGCTTTGCTGCAGGAGCTTACGATACTTTTTTTCTCAAGATTTCCTGCCTTTCCCCAGAAATGACCTTTCTATGGGAAGTTTTGCCTTCGGGATCCCAAAGAACCGCCTGGCGTTCCCCCCAGCAGCTCTCCAGCAGCCTTGGGTACAGCTATGGCCACTCTGAGCTCCTTTTGCTTTTCTCTTCCCCATTTCAGCTACGAAGAGAGGTTTGTTTCTGGCCAAACGTTTTCTCTCTTCTGTTATAAAAAGGCCACAGAGTAGAAGGTGAGCTCTCAAATATGACAGAGATACTATTTCCAGGAAAAAAAAGAATAGCTAACTTACAAAACTAGGTTTATGCAATAAAGTTATTATATTCTGCTCCTGTCAAGCAGACTCTCATGGAATTTATGTACAGTACATGACAGATTTTAAAACTATTTATACCACAGTTAGAGCAAGACCTTTAATACTCTTGTCTTAAGACAGGGTTTGTTTTTGTTAACTTCTCTTAAAGCTTTAGACAGTTAAATACAGTACATAGATGTTAGCTTTTAAATACAATGCAATATTATGTAACCTTCTGACTAGCTTTAACCATAGACTGGCACCGCTTTTAATCATTTCCGTAGTACAAAATGTTCCTTTCCTGATTTTCTGTGTATCGGGGGAGGGGGGGGTGATTTGGGCTCATTTTGCACTGTGGTGCCAGGTCATGGTGATGAGAATCACCCACAGCTAGTGAGTTTGGTAAACCAACCAACAGGTTCGTAAACCAACGAGTTAAAGGAGCTGTGTTGGAAGAATTAGGGACTGCATGACGCTAAGAGACCAGGAATATGACATTCATATTCGTCCATGGCCAGCACAGATTCATAACACGAATTCCACTGACATCATTAGGATGTGCAATAGTTGTTAGTGCATCTATTGTCGCCTACCAGCTTGCTACGAGCGAGAATCGGCGATTCTCCTGGGTGCCAAATCTTCAGACCTCAATGGTGTTAGTGCTACAGTACTTTAGGGTTTGGTGTCTGAAGGCCTGACTGCTGCACGGTTCTACTTGAGACTAGGATCGTTTGGGATCACTTTTTGTGGGGAAGAAAAGAGGGATGGAGACATTTTGACGGCGGGAAAGCTGAGACACTGAACACAGACCCATGCAAAAGTTGGTTGGAGAGGAATAGAAAATATCAATGACTAAATCTAAAACCAGTTCCTAGTTGTTATTAAAACTAGCTACAGTACACTTGGTTTGGGTGCATTACTCTTCTAGAAGAGAGACTTCAGCTTTGGTAGTGCTTAGCATCCCTTACACCCATCGCGCGGCCGAGGCGTTACGCGCTTTCGGCAGAGCTGCGCTTGGCGTGGGCTGGGCTGGACCCCTCACCTCGGAGGTTCCTGAAGTAGAGTTTGAGCTTCTGCGGCTCGGTGATGCGTCTCCTGGCGAAGTCCGTGCGCGGGTGGCCCTGGGCGCAGTGGTCTGTTTGCAGCAGGTGGAAGAGGCTCGCCATGTTGGGCCCGATCTTCTCCATCAAGCTGTCCTTGATGGTGCTCACAGTCTCTTCGTCGCACTCCAGTAAGCTTCTCACCAGCTTGTTGTAATACCTGCAGGACAGACTCTGTTACTCAGTCTCCCTATGGCGTGACCAAAGAAATGAGGTATGAGCTGATCCCAAGCCAGCAGCACTGCCCATGCAGCAAGACTACGGAAAGCAGAGTTTTAAGTCGTTCAGGATACGTTCATAGAAACACAGGGGCTGGAATCTTAGAATCATAGAATGGCTTGGGTTGGAAGGGACATCAAGGATCATCAAGTTTCAACCCCCCTGCTGCATGCAAGGCTGCCAGCTACCAGATCAGTGCTAGATCAGGTTGCTCAAGGCCCCATCCAACTTGGCCTTAAACACCTCCAGGGACAGAGCATCCACAACCTCTCTGGAAAGTTCCAGCACCCCACTGGAATGGTTCAGGATGTGTTCATAGAGTCAGAGAGGTTGGAAAAGATGTTAAGATCATAGAATCATAAAAGCTTTTGAGTTGAAAGAGACCCTTAACAGCCATCTGGTTCAACCCCCCTGCAATGAACAGGGACAGCCGCAGCTCCATCGGTGCTCAGAGCCCTGTCAGCCTGACCTTGGCTGTCTGCAGGGATGGGGCATCCACCCTGAGGAGCTAAGTCGGTGTAACTGGCTTAAGCATGTGTTTTATTCTGCTCAACACCTCAAGCTTCTAAAGCTTCAGAAAGAAAAATAATCGCTTCTTTCCAATAGGCAGATACAGCCAGGATGGCCTTTCCTACAAAGGAATCCATCCCTGTGGATCTGGTCCCACAGCTCTGGTCCCATCCCCTTTTCTCCTCCCTTCCCTTCCATGTAGAGAAGGACTAGAGGAGGGAGAAGCAGCTCAGCTCAGAGCCTGACAGATGTGTGCACTCCCTGGGGACAGATCTTTGGGACATACAACTGCCACTTGCAGTGAGCTGACTATGCATTAAACCACACGTGAGGACCTTCTGCTTTCCCCTGTTGCATGCTTGCCCACTGCTGCCAACTCAGCCCCAAGCACACGTTCTTTGCAGGAGAAGGGACCCAGGAAATTGTGCTGACTGGTTTCCCCAGCACTGCTTGAGCTGAGCGGAGCATGGAACTATGGCAGCACGCAGCCCTGCGTGCACCTCATGCATCTCCCTTACAGGCAGAAAGTTGGGAAAAGAGGGGCAGTCCCATATGTTCTGCCTGAAAGGACAACGGGGAACTTATTTTAAGCCTTTAAGGTCACCGTGACATTTTTCCACGGGAGCAGAGAAGAGAACAACCTGCAAGAGGAGGAGGGGAAGGAAGAGGGAAATGGGACTTTGCATTCAAGCTCCTTTCCTTGCGTTCAGCTCTGCCCTTTAGAGCTGTCAGTGGAGGTCAGGTGAGGTTAAATTTCTCCTGCATTCGAAGTACAAAAGGAGCAGAAGCATGGCAGTATTGTCATTGGATCACACACAGATGATGGTGAATGCATCTGTGCAAACCATACAGGGCACGAAGGACAGATCCTACCCACTGCCCAGCACCATGCAATCACATCAGAGTGCTTTCCACTGCTGGAGCTGCAACCTGGCGGCTGCTGATGCCTCTCTAGGCTGAGAGCAAAAGCAGCAAGGCTTTCCTCTGCCCATGCCATGAGATTAAATCACAGGAAGATGCTATGACCTTTAACTACTTCCTCCTGGTGTCCCAGGCCAAGTGGCACATTCTTATTCTGACGCTATGTTGGGACAGGGGCTGGGAAAGCAGGATGCTTTAGGAGACCTTCATGTAAACTATTAGCTGGGAAATCCTGCTGCTTTTGTTACTCAACATGTCATAATATCCTTTGGCTTCGAGGCGGGCTGGCAGTGGTGGGGGAGGCGTTCCCTCTGCCTGGGGACAGAGCAGCTCTGCGTTAGGCATGGGAGGAACATCCCATCCACACGCAGCATCACTGCTGCTCCCTCTATGGTTCTTGTCCCTAAGTCCCCCTTTGCCCCACTGTCCCGCAGCCCTGCTATCCCTGGTGCAAACAGTGCAACGTGCTGCTGCTCTACATCCCAACTCACATTTATCTGGGGGAAGAAAGAAGAAAAAGCCACACTGGAGCTCCTGGCTTGGTGGACAATGAGTTCAGTCATCTATCAACTCCCTTCTTGCTGGAGGAATTGCCTTCCCCAGTGTATGATTTTCTGGATATCTACAATGCAGTTTTCAGTGATGAGTTCATCCTGGACAGAGATGAAACACCTATATATCATCATCCCACCTATGCTCACATAGGTCTGAAGGCTTAGTATGCTTCTTGATGAAGTCAAACAGCCACCCCAGAGGAGCTCCAGCAGCTAGCCAACGCGTTATATTGCAGCTCGGTCTGTTTGCACTCAAATTCTAAGAGCATATTTACTCAAACTGCTCAAAAAGATCCCTTTTATCCCAATCACAAGACTCAGCACTGATTGTTCCAGGATTTAGAGGAAGAAATCCCTGCCCTTGCAGCGTGACTGCGCAGACTGCAGCAGCTCCCTGAAGCCTCTCTGTCCCTTGTCCTTGGAGATGGGGACAGGTCAGGTCTGTGCTCAGATAAAGCACAGAGAGCAGCGTGACGTGGCCATTCCTGCAGGCAGCCCTTGCTAGCAAGGAGGAACAGGGGTGAAACAACCCTAAAAGAGATCATTAGGAACACCAGACTACTCTAAAATATGTTCTACTGGCTCACGCCACAATAAGGTTATAGAATCTGTTTACTGGTTCCATTTCAGCCTTCCTAATTCTTCATATCTGGACCTTCATTTGACATCAAGCTCATTTGCCAGGTACCAGAAAACCAAAAAAGAAGAGAATGAAGTTGCAATAGGTTGAGTAGCTCTTATGTGCTCAATCTGATGGATGCTATATTAATCATACTGGATTGGTACTGAGAAGGTCTGTTTGCCTTCTGCATTCAGTGAAAAGTCTTCTGCATTCAAACCAAAAGAACCAACATTTAAACCAGCTCCAGGCATTGAAGCAATGTATGTCAATGTCAATTTTACAGCTCTCCCCCGGAGGTGTTTATAAGTGTATTTATCGAAAAAAGAATCAGAAGAATGCTGGTAAAAATTAAGGATTTGAAAAGACACAGAATTACAGAGGCTGAGCTGCATTAGGGCTCATAAGAAGTTAGAAATGTGAGGAATCAAACTGACCTTCTCTATGCTTACTATTTTTGAGTTGGATCGCATGAAGGGTTGGATTGGAAGGCACCTCAAAGATCGCAGAACCACAGGATGGGATGGGATGGAAAGGATCTTAAAGATTATAGAACCGTAGGAAGGGCTGGGTTGGAAGGGACCTTAAAGACCATCCAGTTCCAACTGGATTTTCGTGTTGGATTTTGTGTTGCATTCTGGCCACGTACCGGTTTGAGAACTGATTTGGGAGCTGCACGACCTCTGTGATGGCTTCAGGATTCCGCTTTGCAATGCCACACATGTCCAGCTTGCTGTAGCACTCCTCCTGCACTTCGGAGATCATTCTTTGGAACGTGGAGCACCTCCGGATGGCGAGGAACACCTTGGATGTGACTCCATTGGCGATGCATTTCAAGCTTTCTTTCACAAAAGCTTTTCCCTGCAAACAGAAGAAAACCCTTAAAATGCAATAGATTTCATAGAAAGGGATGTAATAACAAACGCTCTGCTATGGCTGGCTGCTATTAATTACCCTTCCTGCAATTACAGACCTGCTGGAGGCCTCTTACCAAGCATGGCAGGGAGCTGGACCACAAGTGCTCTGTTATTGCAGCGTAGTTAGGAGGCAGAACAGCGAGCTCCTGTTCCCAACAGCTTTAAGCAATGGAAGCATTGGTGTGAGCAGCCCACAGCTTTGGGAGTACCAGCACCAGGGATGGACCTAATCCTGCCCTCCACTCTGTACACCAGGGGCTGGACGCATGGGAACACATACACTTGGGGATGGAAATGATGGAAAAGAATCTCTGGGAGAACCACATAGCTGTGATATTCTCCTATTCATCCTGCTGCAGCTCTGGAGGGGCTGATCTGGCCGTGCATTCCCAGACCCGGAGACTTCCAATTCAAACCCCAGCCCCGTGCCAGGTCCCACAGTACGAGGACTCACTTTGTTCAAAGAACGTTTATATTTCCTCCTGAAGAGGAAACTTCGCTCTCCGCCCCACTCAACGCTCCCTGCCAAGTCCTCACACATAGAGTACAGTATGTGGAAAATGTACTGCAGAAAATAGCCCTGAAGGATGCGCCTGTGGCCAAACCCCAACACTGTGGTTCAGAGGAGCGGCCAAGAAGAACTGCAAGAAAGGAAGGGTTAAGCCTGCACAGAGGAAAGAGAAATGAAGGCGTACCATACCTGAGTGTCAAATTTAGCAGCGCTGTAGAGGAAGGACTTGCAGATGTCGTACATTCCATCCGTGTCACACGTGGAGTTCTCCAGACAGGCAAAAGCCCCACAGCCCACCTGGAGGGCACTGTTCAGGCAGCGAACCACCTCGGCTGCGGAGAGAAGCACAAGGTTAGTGCCCATCACCAACACCGAGCTGTGGGCCGTGTCATGCCTAACTGCTGGGCAACTGTTCCTTGGGATGGGGAGAGAGGGGACAAAGAGAGGCAAAAGGCTCTGCAAAGCAACAGAAATCGTGGAACTGCAAACTGAGGAATAGAGCCTTCAACTACCAAAACATTCAGCGGGTTACTGTGGATTAAAAGAGAGGTGGGAGCTGTTGGTTTTTGGGTAGATGGAGACTTGGAGGTCCATCCTAACCTAATTCTCATGGTGTGCACCCATAACATTACTCAGAGCTCCCATGGACAAGGGAGAAGCAAGGAGAATGGCCCCTTGAGGTCATCCCTAGGGTCATAACGGAATCATACAGTGTTTGGGTTGGAAGGGACCTTACTGATCAGAGAGCCATAGGACTGGTTGGGTTGGAAGGGACCTTAAAGATCATCTACTTCCAATGCCCTGATGTGTTAATTTTCAGTGCAACAAAGGACTTGAACAAGCAGCTTGGTGCTAATATGGTACGCAGCAACGCACAAGCGTAGCTGAGAAAGGTTATGCAGCTGAAGATCTGCACAGAGAAGCGACATGTGGGCACAGAAAGTTAAGGCAATGAAGATGACCATGCATAATTAACATCTGTGAGGCAGGAGCCGATCTGCGCAGAGGGATATCCATGTCATCTCATCTTTTTTAGTGCAGATAGTATGCATTTTAACAATGAATCAGCAGTATTGCCACATGATTGCCCCGAAGTTAGTAGGGATTAACCTTTTTTGGTAAACTGAACATCTGTCCCCTTATGTGTCTGTGCAAGGCATATTCATTACTTTCGCAGATCATGTTACCAGACATTCTTTAGGAAGAAATGCAAACCCAGAGTCTCCCATCGAGATCCTAGGTGTGGGAAAAGTGAGGGTTTGCATTTAGTGGAAGAGGAAACACCTTACACAGAACTAAGTTGTAGCCTAAAGATGTATCTCATACCTAGGAGAAAATAAAATTAACAAAAATCACCCAATTAACCCCTCCTCACGCTCTGCCCCTGCTTACATGCCTGAAGGGAGAAATATTTGGTAAGATCATCCTCTTCCCAGTTCATAACCTCACAAGTCATTCCCATAATTATGCTTCCACAGGTTCAAATTATAACTTTGCTTTCAGCAGACTTAGTATGCATTAAGCTTTTATTGTTTTAGGCACAGTGCAATAGTGAGACCCTATGTTTCTATAGCAACCAAATACAAAAGGAAATTGAGCAAACACCCTAGTATAATGCTGCAGAGCCTTGCAGATCTAAAATAAGACATCTGTTAATGAGCTCTGAATTAGAGACATAATATCTTTTCAGTATACTTAGAAGAGAGATTTTTAATTTCCATTGTTCAAGACAATGTGTCCAACTTATCTACGCATCTATAGTGCTCAAAGTGGAGAGACTCCAGTGCTGACTTGCCAGCAATTTTTTTTTTAATCTATTGTAAAAGCAACTTTGCTAAATGTCACAAACGTATTTTTACAGTACCATCTAACTGATAGCAATCAGTTTGTGGAAATAAATGCTGGCGGCGGACAGTTTCTAGGTTACTGCATTCTTCAAAGTCACACATCTCCCCCCCTCTCTGAGCAGACAGATGTTTGGCAGAACAATGGTTCAGCCAAATTTCCACGGATTTTATCAACTTCCTAAAAAGCAAAGAATTTCACTGCAGGGGAGTTGGACCGGATGACCTTTAAGGGTTCCTTCCAACTCAGGAGATTCTGTGGTTCTATGGATTTAAAGTAGAATTGCGATGGGAGAAGAGAGAGATACATGCAAGCAGAAGGGGAAAAAGTGCACAGAACTCATTTAGTAGATGGGGGAGGAGGCGAGAGAATGAATTACATCCTGCAAGCAGAGCACACACCGGTTCCTGACCCAGCTCTGAATGAAGCTATGCACCAACATCATCCTCAACCAACCCCTTACGTTAATGCTTGCTCCTACCAGTTTACAAGGAAAAGAAGAACCAAAAACAAAATAGAGGAAAAGATAAAAATAAAAATCAGCAGGAGATACATCTGAAACAGTGGAACCCATCGGGGCTGAGGCTCAGAGCCCTCCTTCTGGCTGTTACCTGAGTTCTGGGCTGCAACCCTGGGCTTCCTGGGGCTCACAGAGTCATTCTGTTCAGCTTCGTAGGACGCGGACGCACTGATCACCAGCAGCAGCAGCAAACCAGACTTTAGGAGCATTCTCTGACAAGTTTCCGCTAAGTGTGGCTTTTTGGCTTTTTTTTTTTTTTTTTTTTTTTTTTGGTGTATGTGTTCTTCCACTCCGGCTCGAGCAAAGATGTGGAGCTGGATGGGAATGCAAGGAGCGAGCCCGGGCTTGGGGGGGGGGAATCGCTGCCCTGCAATGCGTGGTGACCCCTCCGGCTGCGCTCAATGGGGGACCGGGAGCAGCGCTGAGGGCTTTTATAGCCGCCCTTATCGGTCCCCCGCGGGCTGCCGAGCCAATCGCGAGGCGTTGGGCAGAGCCAATGGCAGAGTGGACTCATTCAAAGCCCTCCGAAAACTGCAACTTCACAGGAAGAATATTTTCCAGCCCATTAAAAGTACCTGCCAAACGACGAGCATCAAAAAGTTCATCGGTGGGAAAGGGGAAAAGGGAGAGGGGGGTGGGGGGGATGGGAGGGCACTTCCCATGGAGGATTGAGCTCAAGGAAATGACAGCGCGGCCCGAAATCTTCCCCCACTCCTAAAAAGTCACCTGCCCTTTAAGGAAAGATATTTTCCCATCTGTTCGCAGCGATCCCGTGGAAAGAAGGAGGGAGGGGGCTCCGGGCAGCCCCATGGCAGATCCGGGTCCATGGGTGTAGGGAACGGCATCGCCCAGTGCTGTGTGCTCACCCCAACCCCACACCCCCCGCGGCTCACGTAGGCACATGCAAATACCCCAAACCCTGCTCCCCGTGCTCAGTGCTCCTTATCTCACACAATTATGTTAATAAAATCGCGCGTTCAGCTCAGACCTCAACACGATCCTATAGAGCTGCTCCTGCTTCGAAGCGAAAGGATTTGGGGGGGTTGTTTGGTGGTTTTCCTCCCCCCTCGCTCAAGTCTGTTCTTCTGATTTCATAACGGGAGGAGGCAGCCTGGTGCCTGAGTTAGGCTTCGTTTTAATGGGCACATAATGAGGATTAGCACACGACAGAACTGATTATCCTATAGCAGAGACAATTTAAGGCTCTGAGGATTTAAAGGATGAAGGTATGAGCAGCAGTCAGGCTGAAAAGAAATCCTGAAGGTGCTCGGAGACAGATTTATAGATAAAAGAGTCAGAAATTCCGTCCACTTTCAGTAAGTGAAGGGATTTGGATACCAGCTATTACTGATCAGAGAAGAGACAAAATACTCTCATCTCTACAATGGCCGTGACACAGATCCAACAGATTCCTACACGCATCCGTGCACAGAAGTCACATTCAGCTCGGAGGAGCTGACAAACCTGCCCTGAGCGGAGGTGCAAAAACCCTTTGCCTCATTCATGCATCCAGGATTATGAGCGGCTCGATGGAAAAGCCAACGAGGAAGGAGCAGAAAGGAAAAACCTGGGTTTGACAGCTCTGCTCGTGACAGTGGGGAACACTCTGGCTCCAAGCACTGGTGACACTGTTGGTGTCAGCTCCAGTTGGAATAGGAGCAGGAGCGAGGTTGTGCCCCTGCCTTGGGGTCAAAAAAACAGCTGGGCCAGATGTTCCAAGAGTGCTCCAAAGGCACTGAAACAGAAGGGTTTCAGGTTTCGGCTCAGCGTTGTGACACTGAGCCAATTTCATTAAATTAGAGAAAAAAAAAAAGGAAAAGGAAAAAAAAAAAACAAACCCAAAAACAAAAAAACAAAAACCAGCCCTGCAAAAGCACTGTGGTTTCTCTGTTTAATAGGACCAGTCCAGTTTGCAAGTGAGAATAATCCCATGGGGTTTGATTCTGATTAAATCAAAAGCAACTCTGGCATTGACTTCAATGGGGGATGAATCACCACCCTATCTAAGTCCTATTTGGAGTGGAAGCATTGCATTTTCCACAAAATTGAATTTCAAATTCAAAGCCCGATTCCTCCACCCCTTCACCCCCAAGGTGAACATTCCTCCTGGTCTTTTTTCAGTGTTTTGATCTGAACTGGAATAGTTTGCAAAGCAAAACAGATACGTATACAAGCACGTATACATCCTGATTGGAGTCCAAGCTACGAAAGAGTTCCTATAGATCCCATAATACCTCCAACACATTTTCTACTCTTTCTCCTATCGTTATTCCAGGGCTGACTGACTCCTTTAGGGCTATACATGCTATGGAGTTTGTACCTGCTGTAGGTTCCCAAATCAACCCATTCTGAGGATGAATAGCAATAGAAAGAGATGAGATGCAATGGCAACAAGCTCTACAATACGCAGAAAAACTTGCTCAAATCTCCAACCTATGAAGGCAGCACTTTCCCTACTGCTTTAAGAAAGCTGGAAAACAAATTTGGGAGTGAAGGACCCACACTGAGTTGCTGTAGTAGAAAATTATTTGTGTTCTTTAATTCCAGAGTGCATTTGCATTGGTTATTTTGCATACTGAGGGCAATGAGGATTGTAAATCCCCATGAAACTTACATTTTGCCAATGGGGATTGGATTCTCTCTTGCACTCTGAGCTCCAAGAAGACTTTGGGACACAAGAAGAGTATCTATCATGGAATATTTAAGTGTGGAATATTTTTTATGGAATATCTATTATGGAAGAACATTTTCCTTATAAGTCTTCCTTCCTCTTATTAATACCTGGCCCAGATCTGAGAAATGCCATCAGGAGAGAAAAAGCCCCTCAAAATAGTAATAAATATTGTAATTACAGGGGTCTGACTCAGCATTTCTAAAGGCTCAGCGTAACCTGCTGGAAGGATTTCCTCCTTCCCTCCCCTTTGGATAAATGCTGCCCCAAAGCAGAAGGATTCCTATTGCAAACCTTTCTTTTCTGCCTGATACATGTAAGGGGGGGAAAAAAAAAAAGGCACTGTTAGTCCTGCACAAAGCAGCCCCTCCGTGCCGTTCCCATTCAAGAGATCCCATTAAATCAAACACTACTCCCCATTGTACCACCCTTCGCCTATTCCCAAGGTGTTATGATTTTTGTCCAACCTCACAAAGAAACACAAAGGCAGGAGGGAGGAGGGTGGGGGGGGAAGTAGGGGAGGAAGAGCAAAAGACGACGAATAAAAGAGGGGGACCCAAAGCCAATCATCCCCCCTCACCCCCCCCTCCCTGCTTTGTGCTCAGCTGCCTTTGTGTAACTCGATGCCTGCCCACCTTTCAGCCCCCTCCCCAGCCCGGTCCCATTGCATTCGCTGCTGCTGCGGAGGGACGTGAGCAACTGCAGCACCTCGGAGTTATCCACGCTCGGTTGCGTCGGCCCCGCACGTCGGCTGCGAACGGCACGGCGACACTTTGGCACACACGTCCACAGCCACCCCACCCTTTCCTCATGGCTCAGCCGGCAGCCGGCTCGGTTACGGTGCTCCAGGGGACGGCTGCGGAGCCGCGTCGTGCTGCGCTGAGCATGCGTCCTCTGGTTGAGATTGCATTATTAAGAGGGATTTCCCAATGGAGATGGTGATCAAGCATTGGGATGGCCTTCCTAGGGGAGTGGTAGAGTCCCCATCCCCGGAGGTATTTAGGAGATGTGTGTACGCGGCACTAGTGGACATGGTTTAGTGATGAGACTCAATGGGTCTCCAACGAGACTCCGGTCATCACCTCAGTTGAGTCACTGTCAATTGGGTTCTCCTTTTCTTCGGTGGCCAAAACGAAGCAAAAAAAATAACTCATATTGGGCGTTTTTGTGAAAAACACAACTCCACGGCACCCAGTTTTGTTGGGCTTTTTTTTTGCCCCATTCTGGCCACAAACTCAAGCTGATGGCTGGAGTCTCACTGGAGACCTATGGAGTCCAACTCAAGCTGATGGCTGGAGTCTCACTGGAGGCCTACGTAGTCCAGCTCAAGTCAATGATCAAATGAGATGCTCTGGAAGGTCTTCTCCAAACTCAACGATTCTGTGATTCTATGCACTGAACGTCATGGGAAAGGAGCAAACTCTGGGCCTTGACAGCTCGCCAGCCGCCCGTGCACATCTTGCCAGACCAGCTCCTCAACAGGTGCACATTAGGCTAACCGCCGAATTCAATATTCGCCCTTCATCTGCGCCATCCTTCTGATGCGTCACTGCATGCTGTCTGGATGCGATTCCTCGTTGTGGAGTTATAAACCAGGAGTAGCTTCAATTACACGGACAGTATAAAAGCAAAGTAAGGGAGAGGCTAAGCAGAACCTTTTAATCTGCTTAGCCCAAATGAATAATCCCGACTGCACCGGAGTCAGTGATGTCAGAACTTGTTCCAAGAGGCAGGATGCAAGTTGAGTTACCTGGGTGTCTGCCCCAACAAAGCTACTGGGATCCGACTCGTTGGCCTTCGCTCCACAAACCTGGCAGCGAGGAGAACAAAAAAAACCCACCAAAAAACAACAAACCTGCTCGCAATTTTCCTGCTAAACAAAGGGATTTAATAACGCTGGTTTATATGCAAAAAGTCAGAATAGGTTTAATTGGGTCGTGACCGCTGTATGTTTAATGTACAATTGCTTAATGCCCAAGACAAGGTTGCAACTATTGTCTTGTGCTGCATTTGGGTTAATTGTTAAAGCAAGTTAAAGGTGTTCTCGTGTTGCTGTACTACATGATTTATTCACTCCATACAATTTGATTTTTTTAATAAAAGCAATTATGTATTTTAGTATATCTCTGCTAGGCTTGTTTTATATCTTGTAAATGCAGTATGTACGATGAAAAGCGATTAATAATAATAACCCAGCATTACTTGTAATCCCATTCTCTAAATCCCAGCTGCCTGTTTCAATGGGATTTTGATTAAGCCCGGATGTGCACTATGCATTAGAAATTAAGAACTTTCAACACTCAATTCGCAATACCTGGCTGTGATTTGGCCACTGGAAGTACCCCTCAATGGAAGGTAAAACCAACCCCCTGCCTGCACTGCAGACAGCTTTCCTCCACTATTACCACATGTCCACGGCCACCAGCTTGGAGAGAATTCTGAAACACAGAGTTAGTGCAATCCTTCCAGCCCCTCATGTTTGCTTTCCTCTCTTGAGCCCAAATCCACAATTCATTTAGCTGCAGCAAGAGTCAATCCTAACCCTGAGTTGAGGGACCCCCACATCTCCATGCGACCCCCATTCTGCCCCAAACCTCACCGTAAATCCTTCCCCCTCTCTGCTCCACAGCCTGATGACACCAGCAAATATCCAAATAGTTTCTTGCAAAGGCTTGCCTTAACCAGAAAGAGGATCTCTCATTAAAGCAT